TTTCTTCTTATCCTTAAAACATCATTATATTAACCTCCTATATCATATTTTTTCAAAATATATATTATCGAAATCAAAATATATATAATTAATTTAATTTGTTAGAAAATAAAAAAACTTTAAGATTAATTCTTTATATTCATTATATGGACATTTTATTACATTACATTTTATTTTTTTAAATATTCTTGTTATTGTTAAAATGATTTTTTGAATATAAGACACGATTAAAAACACACATTATTGATATTAAATTTTAGATCTTAGGAGCAGTTTAGTGTTAATATTTTATGTCATGAATAAATATATTCACAAATTTTTACATTAAAAATATATTTTAAAATGTACCAATCTCAATGTTTCTTGAAATTAATGTTTTAAATTGTCGTATCGATTAGTAAACATTAATAAGTATTAAAATAGAAAAAAAAATCTTGATACTTAAAGAAGTTTAAAATGAGCTTTAAAGATTAAAAAATGTTGATATTGTATGTTTTAAAATATATATAAATTTATAAAATTTTTAAATGATAGTCTCCTGAATATATATATATATATATATATATATATATATATTACGAATGAATTTATATTAATATATAAATAATTGAAATTCATTAATAACAATTGTGACTAAATTACATGATTAAAATATTTATTTTTATATATATTGTCCAAGAACAGGTTTTAAGATTATGCAATTAATATTTTTCAACACAGATGAGATGTTTATTTTAATCAAAGTATATTTGCTTTTTATTTAACATAATATTTCAATAATTTCCGTTAATAATTATAATAAGACCGATTTTTAACTTATAGTAATACGTCTGTTATACGCTGAATGTAATTGGATAATGAATAATGTAATTGAGGAATATAAAAGAAAAATCATATATTATATATAAGTCAAGTTTCCATATTATTATAAACTGTTTTTGCCTAAAAATATAAAAATATTTGCTGAAAGTTATTTGTATGAAGTTGATTTGTGAAAAACTTGAATATCATCAATTATATCAAAATTATTTCAAATTCAATAACTAAGTAATTTTTTTGTTACAAAGATAAAGCAAAATTTAAAACAATAGGAAATAATCGTTTATTATTTATTTTAGTATGCATACATTTATAAATTTAAGTAAAATTAAAATTAAATTAAATACTAGGATTATATTTCATCGATAAACATATAAAGTTTGAAAAGATTAGGATATTTTTTTTTTAAATTATATGAATCAAATTTTCAAAGTTTTTTCTTTTATAGAAAAACTATTCAAAATTTTGTATATTAGTTATATATATGTATATAAAAGAATAAATTAAAAACTTTAGAATTATTCATTTTTAGGCTGTAAGTTATATTTCGTACCTATGATACGCTCGATCCTTTTCAACGATCTTTTGCGTTCATTTTTCTCCAATTCATATTCTTGCTATTCTTATGTTATCTTCTTTATTAGTGAACTCGTAAATATTTTTGACGTTTTACGACTTTATGGATATTTTCAGTTACTATATATATAATGTAAGAACCCGATATTTTCAAATATTGAAACGGTAATGTAGGTATAACTACCTGTATAACAATGTACCATCTGGCATAATGTTTGGAGATTTTCGAAACAGTAATCTCTAATTTTTATTATTTATGCTTTGAATAAATCGTCTTGAATAACTTTGTTGATTTCAAGAAAGAATTTTTTTTTAACTAGTTACTTTTATAAATATGAAATCTATAAAAGTTACTTTCAACAATGCTGTTCAAAAGTAAATTCTTTATGTTTATTCGTTAGACATATTAAGCATGTATGTAAGACTATTTTGACATTCTCTGAGTATTTTTAAGAATATTTTTAAAAATTTTGGTTGTATTTATACTATTTATTGAATATCATATAATTATCTAAAACTTGATTGTTTATTCAAGTTTATTTTATTGTCGATTATAAATTTATATTCATTATAATTCTTCAACATATGCAAAAATTCGCAGATCAAATAAAATTCATTTATAACTGAAATTTGTAGTATTATATGTTTTTTATATTTCCATATTTAAAAAATTAAGAGGACATATACACATAAAATTAGCGCTCAAAAAGTACTATTTATAATATCGTATAATGATATAATTAATTTATTTGATTTTGAATCATTTGAAATATTTTGATTTGATGATCTATGAAAAAAAGATTGTGAAAAGTACATTCCACTCTAATGCATACGTGTGATATGCCAAGCTAATTACAAATTAAATAATCTTAATTTGAACTTATGTGTATAAAATCCATTAGAAACTTATTTAACGAATTTCTTATTTATAAAATGTTTAATTATAAGATCTATATAAATCTACTTATATAATAATAATTGTATATATATATATATATATATATATATATATATATTTAAATATTTTTCAGTTATAGAATCATTAATTATCTTTCATAGAAATAATGTATTGCATAGTTCTTTTTATATAAATTATTGCTTGGTTTTAGTTTAATTTTAGTATATAAATATAATATATACACACATAAAAATTGTGAAAAATCCATGAAAAGAAATTTTTAAATAAAATTAGACTAGATCGAAGCATTAATTTATATAAAAAGAACTACGAAATACATTATTTCTACGTAAGATAATGATTCTATAAATGAAAATATTTAAATTTGGTTGGTAAATGATAGTGCAAAGTGAATTTTTTCTATTGGATATATGGAATTAAGTGATGCAATTAATAGTATCTTGTATCTACTGTCAAGTACAAATTTTAAAATAATCATGTACTTTAATGTGAAATGATGCGCAGCCCAAGGATTAGTAAATTGTATGTTCAACTTATGAATATAATTTAATATTATCAAAGATTGAATAGTTTTTGAGCAATTTTCACGATTGTAATTAATTAAATTTATATAAATTGCCTATATTTAGTCAAAACTATTTAGTCAAGCATTGGTGAAACTTCAATTTTTTATAAAACAAATAATTAGTGCCAAGTTGTATGAATATTTTATGGATGCTTTTTTAAAAGAGCCATATTCTGATAAATACATACGAAAGAAAAACAATGCTGGCTTTTTAAGGTTTGAAATTATTAAAAAATAAAGTAAATTTGACAAAATAAATTAAAATGTTATAAAGATGATTTCTAACATGATTTGTGTTTATAAGGATCTATTACTGGTATAAAACATCAATAAAGAAACATTATTTTATTTTTGTATTGAATGATGCATGCTTGCATAAATATCTTATGTTTATAGTCATATTGTTATTATAAAAGAACATAAGTGTAGATTAGTGCAGAAAAATACATATTTCATAAACACAATTTTGAAAAATTTACTACAAATAACCTTAAGTAATTTATATTGGATTTTGATATACCAAATCTTTATTTAATAGATATTTTGTATATCTGTATGATAAAGAACAAAAATAATTAGTTGATTAAAAATTAACTTGAATAAAAAAATTGACTATACATCTTAGTAATTAAAATATTTTCATCTTGCATTGCGTCAATCATTATCCAATCATTGGTCAATAAAAATAGAATTTTAATGTTATCGTTTTTAATAGTAATGTTTCAAATATTTAAAATTAATATCTGATTGTAAAATATACTTTTCTATAAATACCATTTTTTTTTTTGTAATTTTTCAATCGTTTATCATTTATTATTATAAAAACCATTGAAGTTTAAGCAAACTTCTTAATAGAAAATAATCAAAATAATTATCAATTACTACTAGATCATCATAAATTTTTCGAAAATAATTTTAATAATAAATAGTTCTCTAATTTATTTATTCAGATTTTTAATACAACATAATTGTTGTTCAGATAAAGAATTATAAAATTGTATACATATTGTATACAAAATAAATTTACATTATCATTTAATTTATAATATTAACAATTTTAATGTATACTTTTCTTTCGACTTTCAACAGTATCAAATATATTTTACAGAATAATTTAATTGGTTTAAAATACCTTTTTTTCAATGAATATTGTAAATAAATTTAATTTAGTTAAAACAAAAAAATTCTATTTGGTATTAAAGAATGCATAAGGAACACTCATTTAAAATAATAAATTCTAATATGGCAATAAAAATATAACAATCAATAATGAAATACTTAAATGTAAGTTTTTTTTTTATTTTGTCCGTCTTACATGCGAATACATATATAAAATTTAAAAACTTTGTATTTTTCATTATTTATATTTTAAGCGCATAAAAAATTCTCACATATACATATATAAGCACTCACAGAATGTATTACTTTTAAAACTGAAATATGCCAAATAATTGTTGTTTAATTTTGTAATAAAATAAAGCATATAAGTTAGTATACATAACATAGTATAATATCTCTTTTTAATTATTGACGTTGCTTTCTATAATTTTACTATTCTAGTTTTATATTATGAAGTTACAATTAGGCTTAAAAAGGTAAAAACGTTATAAAATTCAAAATTAGTCAAATATATCTATATATATAAACTATGAAAGGCATTTAATGTCAATAATGATTGGTGAAGTACTTTAATTATGTATGTACATATCCATTTATAAATATATAAATTGTTGAAAATGCAAAATTGAATTTTTTAATCTATATATAAATTATATATTTAAAATTAATTTCGTATTTTCTTAGCATAAATTTTTTATATTTATTCTCTTTATATGCTTTTAATAAATACAAGTCTTTATTATACTGGTATCCGATGGGATGAGTATCGATGAAAATGTGCCAATACGTATGTGTAGACGTGACAGGAATTTTTTCACAGCATCAACATATATATTATTAAATATTTATTCCCATATCGATTAAAGTCATGATAAGTATTCAAAATACAACCGTGCATTCAACAAAATATAATGTTATAAATAATTTGTTAAGAGATTAAGAGTCGATATATGTAAAAAAAAAATCTTTGCGAAAGATCAATTTTTCTTTTAATAATTTATCAATTACTTTGTCTGCCAAAATAAATTTTAATTTGTTAATTAACTAAAACAGATGCACATAAATTGTGTGGAAATGTAACTATACAGAAGATCCAAACGTGGTTTTAGAATGATTATGATTCTACGTTTTAAATAAATATACATAAATTGCATTAAAAAATTGAACTCAGAATCTCCAAAACTATATTCATAGTTTGATCATCTACTAAAACTATATCAAAAGCATCCTTGAATGAGGGCAAACTTTTCTCTGCCTAAAAAAAAAGAAGAAGAATTATATGATTAAAATATAAATTTAATAATTATGAAAAAATAATTAAAGAAAATTACTATCATTATTTAAATAAGATTTGTAATTAAAAGTATTATTTCTACAATTAATTTAATAATAACAAAATTTAAAAGCTGTAAAATGATACAGCCATGTTTCATAACGTCTAAATACACTAGGTATATAAGATTAAATGATTAAAACTTGATTGGACGTAAAAACTTACTTCCTCATATAAAAATCCTATCCTAAGGACTATTTCTATGTTTTCAACACCATCTGCCATTAAGGCATCGCCTATTGTATCACCCATCAAAATTACATTTGAACGACCCTCCAAGATTTTAAAATATTCATTTTCAATTGCATGTTCATTTTTATTAAAAACGTGTATTATTCGATGTGAATTTTTAAAACCGTTTAAAGTCTTTCCTTGAAATTCTAAAAAATTTGATATCACATTAACGTTTTCAAGTAATACATTTTGATGCCTCAGGGAAGCTTCAACTACATCACCAAGTCCCGCACTAAATACAAGAATAGGAACATTAAGATTTTTTAGATTGACAAATAACTCTTTTGTCCGATCACGTAGTGAAAGTCCATACATGTTCACCATATCCTGTATTTCTTTTTTGTCAAATTCAAGACCTTGTAGCATTTTATGATATGCTACCATCCACTCGTTCATATACTCAGCTTTTTCTTTTACTGGTATGACAGGATTGATTTCTATCGCTCTATATTTTTGATATAAAATTCTTGATTTTTCTTTGAATTCTTCGGATAATTGTGTGCATTTTCGGAAAATTCCTAAATAATATTATAAAAATTCAATAAATATTTTTAAACGACTTGAATAAGCAAACGATTGCATCAATTTTATTTTAATTATCTATAAAAACTAAGCTTATATTACGAATGTATTAAATAAAAAAGATTCTTACCAAAACTGCTAAGAATTGGAGATCCATTATTATGTTGTTTCGTTAAAGTTAAATCAAAATCGGTTATTAACTAAAAGAAAAAAAGAATAAAAATACATAAGGTAATATTGAGGAGTGCACAATTCCGGTGTTCATAGCAGTTAATAATAAAACTAAGAATGAGCATCGAGTTTATTTAAATGTCTTACTTGAAGTTTATTCGCTCCATCGCGCATAATTTTGTTAATCTTTTTAAAAACTAAGTTCTCATCTTTCATATGGACATGTTTTGACCTTAAAATTTGTAGCTGAAATGACAAATTGCAAAATTCTTTAAACAAGTTTTAAAACGTTGGATAGTACGAAAGTAATATTTATTGTGTCATACTCACGTCTTCGATAGTTATTTCATTTTTCATTTTGAAAGTATCTGAAATATTTGCAAATATATGAAATCGACGAATTTTGTCAAAATAATCTAAACACCTTTGATAAACAAAACAAGGATAACTATTTGACTCGTAGGCACATTAAAAAAGTACATGTATGTAAAGCTTCGTATCTCCGTGTAGCAGCGAATGCGCTGAAAGAAATCGCTCTTTGCTATTTACTCCTCTAAGGTGATATCGCGACTGCTGCTGATGATAAAAAGAGTCGAGAGAGTTAAAAAGACCGATGTGAAACTCTAAATTGTGAGACCTCTTGTGAGCCTAGCAATATAATTTCTACCAACTTGACAGTCATGGAAACGCATCGTGTTGTTATTGTTATTTCGACGCATAATAACCAGCCAATGAAATTGCCCATTACGCAAATTCACACGCCTGTATATTTATATACGTGGATATGTACCATTGTGTGATATAGCATTAGGGTTGCAGGTAAATGAAAAGGGAATTTAAAAATAGAAGATTCTCAGTGACGATTTATTTTTATAAATTTTACGTTCGTCTGCTTTAATGGTACTCGAACATTTCAATCGAATTAATGGAAATTTTTAAACACCTAATCGTTAAACATAATCGGCATTATATTGATAAAATTATTGTTAACGAGAACTACAAACTTTCTAATTACAAAAATTGACCATTTTCGCAAGTAGTTAATAAATGTTTGTATCATAACTAAAAAGCGTACAAGTACTTTAATAAACGATGTTTTACTTCTATCTAATCACAAATACTAAAGATACAATTATCGAAAATTTTCATTCTTATCAATTTCAAGCAATTTTACTTAACTCGCACCAACATTTCGTTTAAAATTTCGTTATTTTAAAGCTTAATTAATAAATAATTCACATACTTACTTAGATATCGCATAGTTATACCAAAAAATATAAGGATATCATTTTATTGCCTACACCTGTTTATAATAAATAATTTACGAACTATCGAATGCTTAAGTAATTGAAAAAATTTAATATGTATATTATTGTTGATTTTGCATAAAATACAATGTAAATAAGGCTTACAATAATACTAATAATAAAATCAACAACAACAACAACAACAACAACAACAACAAAGCAACGATGGTACAAGGCTAATTTATAAAAATTATAATTTAACAAGTTATTTTTAAAATGAAAAATATTTTTAATTAACAGTTCATTGTAAAATAGTATTAAAATTAATATTTACTTTATTAAGTGTGTGAGATTGTAAATATTTGAAAAATAAATCATAGGAATTAACTGGATTAGATATTGAGCGATAAACTTTTTCATATATACTTTCATGGCTTTTCAACGTATCCTTGGACTTTTACACCATAGTTTCATATTGTATTTAAAGCAATAATTAATTTAACATTAAGGCACTTAAATATATTCAAATCACGTTACGTTAATCGATAAACAATAATCATGACATTAATTGGTGCTGTATTTGAGTTAACATTTCAGATTAAGTGATTGGTTTAACAGTTTCGATTGGATCGTCCTGAAAATTAATGATCCGCAGATGAAATAATAAAATGGATTTTTTAAATTGCCTAGCGTATTTTTATCTCGCATGTAATTTTAAATAAATATTCATTGTTTTTCACATCTTAATTACCTCTGACTAAAATGACAAATATAATATGAAGATAATGATTTCCATTTTAAATACCTTATAATAATAGTTAATATTTTATGCAATAATTTAAATATTCTTTTAAAATGCCACAATAAATTATAAAGAATTCATGTTAAAGTAATTTAACACTTTGTTCATTTACACTTTGTTCATTTTACAATATTTAATATCAGTTAAATTTTTCGACGATTTTACGTTCATTTTGATTATATTTTACAAAATTAAACTTCCACGATTAAAAATGTATGTAATTAAATTTATTATTCTTTAAAAGCTAATGATTTTATGATTAATTAAGAGAAATTTCCAAAATTATTATTAAACAGCCTATAGGTAAGAATACAGGATAAAAAAGAACAGATTACACATTTCATCAACCGTTATTGCAAATATTGATACAGTGAGATAGCGGATAATCAAAGTAATGATTTATTAAAAAATAAAATTAAATAAATAAATAAATAAAAATACAAAAAAAAATGTATCGAGAAATTTATCTGTTTTTTCTCTACAATGAGCGCATCAATAAGTGTTATCATTATCAACTCACAGTATAATTTTAAATAATTTTTTTATTAATGTGCTTTTTGCTGCTACATAAGTTAAATTTATATCATATAAAAACTTTTAAAGTATTTAAAAAAATATAACTAATTACAAAGAACCACGTTTTATAAAAATCACATACATTTTATATAAATAGATTTATTTTAATAAATTAAGAATTACAATATTTGGACAGATATTAATTACATTGACAATATCATAAATTTAATTTGTAAAAGATTGATAAAACAATCTATAGGAATACCAAACATAGATTTCATTAATATTATTATATTATATAATAATATTCTATAATACTTTTTAGAGTTTGAGAAGCAAATAATTTTAAAACTGTTTTTTTCCTCATTGAAAATTTTTAATGTCAGTCCAGTAATTTTTAATATGATTTGAAATTTGTTTATTATCATAATCTTCAAATCCATCTTTTATTACAACTATATAATTAATATTATGCATTAGACATAAAATATTCTTTAATTCATGCACACCTATCACCTATATTATTTATCCGTTTCAAGATTATCTATATTATATAATTTTGATAAACTAAAAATTTGTGATCATTACATTTTTTTGCAATAAAAAATTATGCATTCAGGCAAAACAAACATTCATCTCCCAATGCCATTGATATAGTTAAGTTTTCATATAATTGTAATATTTGTATCATTACAGTGATTCTTAATAATTTTAAGTTCATGTTTTGCATAAAAGTCACTTGTTTTTTTATCTTTAATTAATACAAATATTACTTCAATAAGGGCAAATATTATCATATTAACATCAAAAAAGTCTGCATAAATATTATTCCAACAATCTCTGTACAAAGAGACTAAGCTGCTGAAATTTATAGTATATATAAGCGTGTTATCTAGAATATTGTATGTATAATGTATAATATATTATTGTATAGCGTTTAAATATAATTAAACTAATAACTGTTAATTACCATTTGTTGCATCTATAAACATGCCAATACTACAACTACTAAAATTAAAAATATTATATTATTTTGACTTTTTTAAACAAACTAAATTATTATTTTTTTTAATATTTCGTTTTAGATTCATTTTGATTGCTTTTATTTTACACCGTATATTTCTAATAATTATTTCCCATTAATAAAGTTTATATTTTTCATCAACATGTGTTTAAGGAATTCATTTGATATGTTCTTATTATTCATATTATTAAAATATTTTTAACTGTTAATCTCAATTCTTTTATAGATGTTAGAGTATACTCTGCAAGCTTAGGAATATTAATTTTTATTAAACATTCTACATCTTTTTCTATCCTCATTTTCCACAATGTAAATAATTCATTATCTATTAAACTATGCCAACTATGTCGACAAACCCACAAAAGAAGGTTTTATCTAATTACTTTATTTATAAAATAAGAAATTGAGTATTTTAATTTACTTTGTTAATCGATATAAGTTTGTTTAATATTTTGTGTTGCATTATTTAACGTATCAGGCACAGTATTATCTCTTTTAATTATTTTATGTTCTTTAACACTTAATTTCCAAGACTCAAAAACTACTTGAATTTTATTAGATATCATTAATTACCATTCTACATTTATTTTTACTTGTTTCTTAATATTATCTTATAATTATAAAAAATATATATAGTTATAATACAAGTTGGTCTGTTTAAAATTTCTTTTCAAATCTTTTTAATCTTTAACATTTACATAAAGATTAAAATATATGAAATAGGTTATGAATGAAATAAAATAAAGTTATTATTTATACTGTAAATAATAGTCAATTGTTAAAATATAGATTGTTTAGTTTATTAAATAAACATTATGAGTCTAAAATTCAATAAATATTATATATTTGTAAAGGTATAACGATTGGCTAATTGTCAATATAATCATAATACTTTCATTGTTGCATCGACATTGCAAAATTACTATTAGTTATATAATTATTGGAATGCCAGTAACTGACCTGTCATCATTTTAAGATATCTTTTTCTGTATCTAATAAACAAAAGTCTATCGGAAGAAATTTTGCATCCTTCAAACATTTTACATTCGTTTTTCATTAAAGAAATCTTTACATTTTAATACTAAAGCTTTAGATTTTTTTTTATCATACTGGCCATACATTAGAATTTTTTATTATGTAGAAAAACGAATGTATGGAACTAATGTCAAAAATACAAACTCCTACATGACGTAAATTTCGTAAACATAACCTACAACGGTAAATAATATAATAATGTCGTGTCTGGCAAATACACAATTCGAATATTTAAATAACAAAAATAAAAAACTTTATTATAACGAGGATGATAGGAATAACGAAGATTTTAATTTTCAGGTAATTTTAATTAATTTGTATTCATATAATTAACTGGATTAGGAAAACATTATTTTGTAAATTGGATCTGTTGATATATTATATATTTTATCTCTAAATTGATTATAACGTTCTAAATTATAAATTAAAATCAACATATTAATTTTTTTAAATTGCGTACGGTTCTCATAAATCGTTTAAAATTTTCCAAATAAAATATTTCAGTTTGCAAAACATATTGTGAATGGATGTAATGCATTGTTTTGTTTCCTATTAGAGTTCTAGTATTAATAATATAAAAAAAGTAAACAAATATTATACCCATAAAAATAAAATTTTCATGTCTTTGTATTTTTAAAATTTATTCTAAAGATTTTTGAACGAATATATTATTTTATTAATAGTTTGTTCCTGTTAATCAATTTAATCAAATTATAAAGGATGTCAGAAGACAAAAAATGCAGGATAAAGAAAAACTGTGGACTCCTTTTTTTAAAGAACAAGAACAGTCAATAACAGATTGTCAACAATGTTGTGATGACATCCAATATAGTTCTAGTCGTACACTTGCAGAAAGTTTCGAAGAGGTTGATAGAGAACTGATGCGTTTAAAAGGCGATACTGTACCTGAAACATGTATTGAAATAAGCAATAGCGATATAAAAAATCAGCAGGTACAATTAGAATTAAAAAAAGTAATATGTAAAAATGAGTATTCCACTGGATTATTTACATTATTTTATTCTAGGAAAAAAATCTATCACTTAAAATTGCAAAACAAGAAATACCAACTACAAGAGATTGTGGTACAGGTAGTACTAACTGCTTATTAACCATTCCAGAAGAGATAAATGCATATTGTCAAATGATGTCATCTACATCTTGTAAGCCTTCTAAAATGTATATAAAAAAAACTTGTTCAGATCAAACATTAAAAACAAAACGAATTCATACAAAATATCACTATAGCACTAATGATTTAGACTGTAAGTCTAATCCTGATATAAGTTCAAATCAATTAAGTAATGCAAATTATTCAATTGTTGAGCATCCAGATCCTATTGTAATAACAAAAATATTAAATATGCAAAGAAAAATATGTATTATTTTGGATTCAATATCGACCGAGCTTGACAGAATTCCTCTACCAGATGGAGAGAATGATTATTATAGAAGAAAACAGCGTACGGTAGAATTTTCTACACGACTATCAAGAAATTATTTATATGATCTTAGTCGGCAAATTTCAGATATCGAACGACATATCAAAGCCATCAATCCAGTTAATAAAATGAGATTAAGCAGAGGAGGAATGATTCTTCATATGCAGGCCATTGAACAAAAATTAATTAGTACACATCAATTGCTATTAGCTGCCTTAAACGCATATATGAAACATATTCCTAATGCAGTATTAAAAACTCATCCGGGAAAATTGAAGGAAATACTACAAATAGTTTTACAACTCAAAAATATTTGCATCGAAATTAAAATTATCCCGGATTTTTATTGTTCGGGTGATGACAGAGATGCGTTTTTGGGAAAAGAAACTGAAAATCGATGTAGTATTATTTTATCTAAATTTCGTTTAAATTCCGATAATGAGTCACAAGTCCCTAGTCATACAACTAGATCAACAGTAACCCCTTCAAGTAAAAAACAGCGAAATCGGAAAATATTATCCAATCGATTGAGTATGTATACAATGGATTTGAGATTAGCTAAAAATTATCAATCTAAAAAATCTTATAATAGATTTCAAAATCCAAAAGATAAAAAGAACACTTGTTCGTTGTCTAAAAATTTGCAAAAGAGTACTTTACCAGTATCTAAGAAATTACAATTAAATTCGCGTACAAATTCATTGAACGAAGCTATTAGAAATAAGACTAACAAAATTAGTATACCAATGAAAGAAGATGATATACCAACTATGATGGACACTTTTCCTTCAGATTTAGATGTGGATAGTTATCAGTCAATTAAATCGGATAAAAGATCTGAAATCTGCAAATATAAAAAAATTGAAACTTATGAGAATACAAAAGAAGCTGGAAGATTAAAAAAGAATAAATCATGTGGAGATGAGAAAATGTTAAAAATTAATTGTACGGAAGGAAAGTATTTTTCAAATTTCTTGCCAGCGAAGGAAGATTTAATAATTCAAAATTATTCAGAACCATTGCCATTATCTGCTACTCGTACTCTTCACAACTTAAATAAAAAATGTCAACCAAAAGTGAATTTAAGTAAGTAAATTATTATTAACTATTTAAAAAGTAATTTACAAATAAAGCAAGTATAAAAGAATTGAATTTTTTTAATTGAAAATTTAATGTAATTTTTAACTGAATTTAATCGAAAACATTAATAATATTTTTATAAATAATTTAATTTATGAAATATATTTTTTATGAATAATTTAAAAGATAGATTTTTTAGAACAACAGAAATTATGTACTTAGTATTTAAATAAAAATAAATAATGAAAATTTTAATTTATTCTTTTATGAATTAGTTCAATATTCTTTCCAATCATTATAAATTTACATATATAATATTTGCTGAAAACATTTAAGGTAAATTTTTATATAAAATTCCAATTCAAATAGATAAATATTTTTGTTAGATGAACTTCAAGGATACGTCGAGCACGAGACTGGTTCATCCAATATGCAATTGATTTGTTGCACCGAAAAAGAGGATAAAGAGAATAGCGATGAAATAATTGACATAGCAGAAGATAAGAAAATTTTTCAATTCAATGATGCATGTTGTCAAGCCAACTATCTAAACACAAATGGAATGTTCAAATTATTAATATCCGATACACTAATGCTGAGGCTTTCGGAGTACAGAAATCAATATAAAAGTTTGTTAAAGTCCAGCCCAATGTACACAAGTAATACTCAAAACAAACCCTGGGACGTGGTAGCCTGGATAGCTGATAAACTCGTAGATGAATTGATTATAGAGCTGTCCAATGATTTTCAAATGGAGGAGATAATTCAAAAATTGTTTGAACTAGAATTTCAAGAGTTTTAATAATTTGTTGAATTATTATTTATTGTATTAACTAAACACAAATTTATAAAACGATTTGTATATGCAATTTTCCATTTTATATGAATAAATATTTTTATCATTTTATATAATATCAAAATAGTGTTTAAGTTATATGAAAAACGCTTGATTAAAAATGTGATTATCAAATTTAATACGTTTCAATCAAATTGAAAAACCTAAACGATTACGACAATAATTCATACAATTATAAGATTTCATTTCATTTGTATAGATTAATGTATGATTATTATAGACGTATTTGTAATTATATGAAATTTTCATACTCTCAATCTGTTAAAGTTGCTTGTGAAAAGCATTAATTGTTAAGTTACATTACGCTAAAATTAAATTACATTTAACGATGATTTATAAAAATAATTCTACTGCAATATTCTTTAATCAAACGAGTTTTTTTTTATTTATGTTAATATTAGTTGCAACATATATTTAGATTTACAAATTTATGCACTATCAAATAAATATTCTATAACTCTTGAAGGCATGTAAACTTTAAAATACAATGAAACGAGTATCTCTGTAATGAGAATTAAATATTAAGTTCCATTTAGAATTAAGTTTCCTTCGCAGGTGTATCCGAACTTGTAACATCAATACTCGTTTACTTGCTCTTTACTAATAGCTCATTCTTCAAAATATTCAAGGTGGCGCTACTTAGTTTACCATGTGCGATGTGTCGACTGTTTCCCAGTGTTGGCCGAACAGTGCGCAAGCATATTACATAAAAAAAAAGAAAAAGAAAAGAAAAGAAAAATTATATACGATGATTCAAGAACATTGTTAATAATTAACCAATTTTGTTTGAAAAATACTTGGTACGAATGCATTTGATGTGGTTAAGTTGCGTAGCAAACGGTTTCATCGATCATTTAAAGTTTAGGTAAGACAATTTTGTAGAAATGTGCAGTGTTGCACATAGTAATAAAGTGAATATCGAATATTTATAAGGTTTGCCGTTCTCGAGGTGTTATGTAAAATGTAACAAAATATAGTCATGTCGCAGGTCGACGTAATTTCTTATCTAAATTATCAATAGCGAAGAATATTTTTTTACTTAAATAAATAGTTTTTTCGCTGTATTTGTTATTGTTGATTTATCGCGTGTGATACATTAATTTACACTTGATAATGTAAATATTTTAACATTCCGTATTTAAATATCATTTGAATTGGTTTCTCGTTATCATTTAAATGTTATTTAAATTATTGACTCGTGGGCATTACGAAAAAATTCAGTTTTATAAAAAAAAAAGAAAACGGTCAGTGTCGCGAAAGGCATAATATTATTGAGAAAGTCAAAGGTAACTTTCACTTAAGAAGGAATCATTGGGCACACACATTAAATTCTTGGTGCGTGCGCCTTTCCAATTATTTTGATTGAAACATGATAGCGTGCATGGTAATCGTTTCGAATCTTTACTCTTTACTCCAGATAATTTTTAATAAAAAGATGACGTAATATCAATTTAGAATTGATGATATTCTTATATCGTTCGTTATCTATTACTAAGAAAACGACGTAATTTTTAATTCTTTTTAAAAAAGATATTTACGAAATGATTTATGAACGTTTTTACCATTATAATGTAAGTGGCATGTGTAATTTTTTCTTCTTCTTTTTTTTTTTTTTATGAAAATATAAATAGGAGAAGTTATAATTAATTGTATAAAATGTTTTTAATATTGCAGATAATGAATCTCCTACTGGGCCTCCTATTGGTAAGCACAGTTTTTGGAGAACCAAAAGTGATTTTTCATGCAACAGAAACAAATATTCATATGGATGAAGTTACGCATATTCCATTTAGTATTGAAAATATAAGCAGCAATGTTGTTAAAGTAAATTTAACAGCTATTAGTTCAGATTTAAATGTAGTTCAAGTTGAAAGGCCAATCTTTGATCCTCTTTTAATTCATGATGGTTATTATAATGGTAGCATTAATGCCACAGGAATTTTCCTTGGCAAGGCAGAATTGTCAATGTCAGTTTTAATAGATGAAGTAAGAACACATTTGAAGTTATATTAATAAGTTTTTAAATTTTTTTAACTTTACATAAATTTAAGTCTTACATGAGCTATATAATTTAAAAATACATTTAATTATTTATTTTTTCTAGCAATACATTTATTCTTACTTAAGAATAAATATTTTATATTTTTTAACTGTAAAAAATAAAACTGTAATTAAATTACTAATATTTTTCTATATTGATTGTTAAAGTTAAGAATATATAATTATTCAAAACATTTTATAACAGTTCATAATAAAAATTTATCTTAACAATTATTATGTATTATTATATAAATACTTATTTTTATGTCATATGAATATGACACCTAAGTATTTAATATAGAATCGATGCATTTATATTTAAATCTTATTTGTAGCAGCCAGTGAAATCAGACGTTATGAATATTATTGTAATTAGAAAAGTACGAGTAATGGATACTATTTTTACTGCTAGCGTAGCTATACTTGTTTCTATATTGTATATAAATTTTGGATGTGCTATGGATTGGACTGTATGTGCAAAGACAATCAAAAGACCAATAGGACCAATAATTGGATGCTTGTGCCAATTTATACTTATGCCAGTGGTAATTAAATTTGAATAATTATCACTTATTGTTATTAGTATTAATTATCAATATTAATTTGTATAATTGTAGAGAAGAATTATTGAATTATCGTTATAAATTTTTTACTTCTATTTAAAACAACCATATTTTCAGATAAGTTATGTACTTGCTGTTACATTATTTCCTGAATCTCCTGAAATGCAATTGGGAATTTTTTTTACTGGTATTAGTCCTAGCGGAGGTGCTTCTAATATTTGGACAATCCTTCTCGGTGGTAATTTATGTTTATCTGTGACAATGACTACATTATGCACAATTGCTGCATTTGGTAAATATAATCACTATGACTATATTAAACATGATTATACTTAAATCAATTAATTATATATACTATATACTATATATATATATATATATATATATATATATATACTTATATTCTTACATTTCATAAAGAAATAAGATTTTTATTGTTATTTTTAGGATTAATGCCCATGTGGATTTTTACATTAGGTAAACACATATTTGACCGAGGTAATTTAGCTATGCCCTATGACAAGATAGCAACTTTTGCTATGGGACTTATAATACCTTTAGCACTTGGATACATTATTCAGAAAAAGTTACCAAAACTTTCAAGAATTTTGGTGCGTATGATGAAGCCGTTTTCTGTAATTCTCATCGTTTTTATTATTATATTTGCTATCATCACCAATTTGTATTTATTTAAGCTCTTCTCATGGAAGGTAATATATAATATTAATCAATTTACATGGGGACATTTATCTTATGAATAGTGAAACGAAATATTATTTTTATAGATTATTTTATGCGGAATGGGATTACCATGGTGTGGGTTTATATTTGGTATGTTAGCCGCATTTATATTTTGTCAGCCAGACCAAGACATACGAGCTATTGCTATTGAAACTGGTATTCAAAATACCGGTGTTTCAATATTTTTGCTCAGATTTAGTTTAAAACAACCTACTGCTGATTTAACTACTGGTAATAAAAATTTATAAATAATAATAAATATTTTGAAAATTAATAACATTTTGAAAGTTATTAACAATTATTAATAAATTGTTTTTATTTTAGTTATTCCGGTAGCTTGTGCAATAATGACACCATTACCGTTAATATTTCTGTATATAATTAAACTTATGTTGGATCAAAAAAAGCAAAAATTGGCAACTTCAAAAGAAGAACTTCAAAATCCACTTCACACTGTGCCATCGATTTCAACCACAGTTTCTGCTTTAAAACGGAATCAAACGATTCAATTATGAATTTAAAAAATATTATTCCAATTATAGTCAATGTTTCTATTGTTGTTTTTTATTTTAAATGCTTTATTATGTACAAATATTTGATATTTTTATATTATATTCAATATGTAAATTGTAAATTATTAGATTATTACAATGATCTGAACTAGTATTTAGAAAATTTATTTAGTAAATTTGTTGTGGGTTGGCGGGTCATGAAATAAATATAATTACGTGTTTATTTAACGATATTTTAAATATCGTATTGGTTTTTTACTCGCTTGTGTAAATAGTGAACAAAGTATGTATAAAAATGTGGTTTTTATTAACAAACTAGTGCAAGAGGATTAGTGCAGAATAGTTATTTATTTTTAATTATTTAGTTGTTCTGCAAGTTCTAATTCGTACATTGGTAGCTCTTTCAGTCAGATTACTAGTTGTTTTGTTATGTTATATTGTTTGGATTCTACGACTTTCAAATGATGAATTATTAAATTATAATTTAATTATTTATTTAGATATAAATTTGACGATGAAAATCGCGAATTACAATCTAAGATTATAAAATTGCTGTTATATGTTTTGTTACTTATGCGTTTATTTTATGTTTATAGTACTTAGAAATTTTTTGATAAATTAAGAAATTGTATTAATGAATTTTTATACTTCCAATTGATTTATTATAATTTCATGTTATGTTTAAAGCATATATTGTATATATAAGTAATATTTTATGTAAAAATCCAAATATATAAAAAAAATATGATTAGTACATCGTGATATTGAAAACATTTATAAAACATATCGAAAAGAAACAATAATATTAATAAATATATTTTCAATAATATTTATTATTTTTATTTTAAAAACAAATTCAATGTCACTAATTTGATAATACAATAATTGTCGTTTTTCTCATTTTTTACTTTAAATTGTAAGTAGTCATCATTATCTTTAGTAAATGTAAATATACAAAAAAATAGATACAGTATAATAACGTACAAATATAACAATTTTGTATATAAAATCTATATAAACTAGAAATTATTGTAGTATAACATACTTATATTAGTAAATTTCATGAATATATTTTGTATATTAATGTATTTACTAAATATATCATTCAATTGTAGTAATTAATATATATTAAGAATTTAAATACTTTTTTTTTATAAATTTTGTATAAAAAACATAATGCAATAGATTCAGTTTAAAAAGAATTATCATTTATTAATATAATAATAAATATTTATACATTTAAGCCAAAATTTAGTTTAGTAATTTATTTAGTATCTATATAAAATTAAATATAATATATCATTTATTATATATTCGAGGTATAGTTAAATTAGCTTATATATTGCAATAATAACTATTTATTATTTATAAAAATTTTCTAATAAAAATATATTAGATACATTATACGATTGAAGTTTTTACTATAGTCATTTGAATTTCAATAATAAGAATTGCAGAGTTTATTTTATCCAAATATTTCAATAGTCTCTAAAAGAGTTTCTATTTTTTCTAGAATATAATTGTGTTTATTATCATAAATATAAATATATATCATAAATATAAGTGTACATTTATGTTTAGTAAGTAATTGCTGAATCGAATGTCATGAAGCATTCTACTTTCAAATGGTTTTAAATAAATTTATTTAATAGTAAAAAAGTAATACCATTTAAGAGATTTTAGCCTATACAAAACCAATATCTGAGGGTATTTGTAATATAATTTTTTTTTTTATTGACAAAATAAAAAATGAAACGATTTAATCAATTATATATAACGCTTATATTTATATATATATATATATATATATATATATATACATATATAGCTATTCAATTATTTGAATGTAATTTCAATATATTTTAATTTACAATTCAAATTAGTTTTTCTTTGTATTTACCTATATAAGATTATATGTAGGAGATTGGCATATTGAATACAAGATTTTAATAATTTGTGTTAAAAAAAAAAAATATAGTAACAAGAATAATTCAAAACAATTTATTGATTAAAATAAATAATTAAAGAAAAAATGAAATAAAAAATAAATGAATAATTAAAATAAATAATTTATTTATTCAATGTCATTGCTGTTAAATTATTATTTGTACTAAACATTAAATTAGTACAGATAAATAATAGTAGAAACGACATATAACGGATGTAAATATTAAATGCTTAATCATTGTCGAATGTGAAGTGTCATTATGGAATTTAAAATTTAATGAAATTAAAATAGTTCTATCATTGTTATATATTATGAAACCATAAAGAATGTTATTTAATTTTAATTACATTAATTTTTTATAAAAAATTTGTTATTTAATAATATATTTACAATTTTTTATATTAAAGAAAATTTAAAATTTATTGTCAATGTCATTTGCTCTTACATAATTTTCCTTAGCTTAGTGTCCTCTGTTTCTTCAGCGAATTTTCCTACTTCGGCGATACAATATAAGCACAATGATTCTCATGCAATTTCATGAATAAATTTCATTTCTATATGGGCAGAAATTAGATTGCAAGTATGAGCACAACAGACGTCTCCGTTAGCGAAATAAATCTACGCTAATTGTACATTTTGTCATTTAAGGAAAATGACTGAGAAAACTGCAATAATTATTCATTGTTACTTCGACAATTTTGCTAAAATTATAATTAATATTTTGCTCAATATTTATACTTATACGTACCTACTTAATGTCTATTTATTCTACTCTTTTTATTCTTTCATTCTTTCTTATTTTAATTTACTTATATGTATTTTTCTTAAAATAATTACGTGAAAGACCTTGTAATACATTATCAAATTGCATTGTAATCGCACTTGATAATTTTATGTTCGTATCAATGTATTGTCCAGCCTATTTTCGGTGCAATAAGTTCAGTCAATGCTTATTCATAATCAAATACATGAGTATTACACCGAATTATCAAATCTCAACGAGAAAGATGGAAAATCATTGTACTTTCAATTTGCTCACTCGTCATGGTATGGCAGGTAAGAGTAGCCGACATAAATGATAGACGAGGAAAGAAGATAAAATAATAAGACTGTAATTTTCGTCACTGGTATGTGCTTATTAATTTGTAGACAAGATGAATATTCAAATTTTTGTATTATAATAAAATAAAAAGTTTAAAATACTTGTGAGTCATATAATATTGAGTTAACAATTTAACATTTTAACTTCCTAACCTAACCTACATAAATAATCGAAATTAAATGTTTTCTTCTTGCTTTAATTCTTTTACAATTACAATTACGTATTTAATGTTAAAGATTGTTTAAATTACAGATTTAGCATAACATAAGTAGTATGTTACAAGATTTGTAAATAAATATAACTACATATGTCTCATAAATGCTTTGATTTTATACTTAAAAACATCAATGGAAATTAAAAAAAAGAACAATATTTTAATTAAAATTATATAAGTTTAAATTTAGATTTAAAAATGTTTAATTAACTTCTTTAATGTCTATCTGTTGCAAGCACTATTTAGCAGCTTTTTAAATATTATTATTAATAATATTATGAAATTATTTAATATTGTTATATAGAAATTGGATTAAAGAAGCTTAAAAATTGAAAGTAATTTATTATAATAATATGTAAAACGATCAAATTCATTAATACAGGGAGAATAAAATTATTGAATAAAAAAAAAAAAGAAAACTAATAAATAGAGATCAGCAAGTATAGATATTTTGTATAATGAAAATTGTCTCAATGTACAATTTAATATAAAATAAATAAGACAATATTTTGAAACTATAGATTTCAAATTTATAATTTTTCTTTGTTCTAGCTGTTATAGATGATGGAGAGTCAGGTACAATTGTTGGACTATATCCAACAAATTGAAGAAAAGGGTGTCGAAATCTTAACAGATAGACAAGAAGTTATTGCTCTTGATAAGAGGAGAAACGATGACAGAGTTGGTATGAGAGCTTTGCAAAAGCAAAACGGTGATAAAACATGGATAACCGTTGGTCCACTATTGATAAAAATATCATCAAAAGCAGCAGAAGAGTTATTAAAAGAAGGTTCGTGTATAAATCCGGAAATCATTTTTTGTTATTAAAATAAGACATTTCTTTTAATACGAATGATTAAATGTGTTATATTTTCTGTAGATCAGAAGCAGTGTGATATTGAAATTAATAAAATTAGAAGTGATTTGAAGATAAAAGTAAGTGAAATTAGACAAATGGAACATAATCCTCCAGTTCCTGGACTTACCCTTAAACCTATGTCAAATTCAGAAATGTCCGCAATAAATCAAGTGTTAGGAAAAAGTTTATGATTAGTTCATGATAGGATTATTTATTTAAAATTTTAAATCAGAATGAATTATATGTAATAAAGACAATATTTATTGTATTAATAAGTGTATATAAATTATATTAGATTGTATTAATATTTAATGTTTGATGAATTTTCATAATTTTGTGCATACACTCGAAGAAATGTTTATACTTTTTTTTTTTTTTTTTTTTTTTGTTGTTATTAAAGATTTATTTAATTAATTTCTAATTATTCCTCTTTACATGCGCCTATATTTGAAAATTTTAAAGGAAAGTTATTTGGATGATTGAATAACATATTAAATATATTAAGCATCTTATTATTTATTATCTTGTAACTATCATGAAAAATAAATCATACATAGAACCTCATGATTATAATTAATTGACAAATACAGCAGGTTAATGTACATGGATTTAAAATAAACTAAAGAAAGTAATTCGACATATATTAAGTTAAAATTAAGATTAAAAAAATGATGGTTATATGTAGCAGTATTATGGTGGTTGAAAATTTAGCCACATAAAGTTCTTCGAACTGTAATTATTTTATACGTACGAGAGAAATAAAATTTGTAATAATAAGTACAATCATTCTAAATAAACTAGTATTTTAAAGAAGCTGCCTCTTTAATATTTACCAACCAATTCCTTGTAAATGTACAGCATATGATCTTATGGCGTAGTGCGCATGCGACAAACTTTCCACCAATAAAACGTGAGTTTTTATTATTTTGAAAATGTCAACCGTCAATAGTTATTTGCTGATATTTGCCTTTATTGTGTTGCATTGGGTAGAATGTTTTTCTAATATTTCCAAGATCTATCAGCAAGAAATAAATACAATAGGATAGTTTTACGTGACATTCAGAAATTTCATTTTTTTTTTTTTATATAATTCAGATTAGTGAATATCATAACATTATAAAATAATTCAGGCACTGTTAACTTTTTTTATAACATTGAAAGTGTTAAAACAAACGATTAATATTATTTTCACATGAGTATTCGAAAAGAGTTTATTAAATATGTTGAAACGGGATGAAAAGTCTTTCATTATATCTGATAGTGAAGAAGAAGCAGAAAGTTATAGTAAAAGAAATAATACTTGTTTAAATACAAGAATAATTAAAGATACAGATACAGAAAGGTAAAATTTAAGGAAATACTTACGATATTATTTTTATTTTTATTATATATTTATTTTAAAAGGAATGAAATCGAATGATTCTTGAATATGTTTATTTAGCAATAATGTATTGATAAGCTAATTCAAACTTTCACGAATATTTTCGAATTTATAATTTTTATAATTATTTGCTTTACAATTGCTTATTTTTTAAATGCAATAAATAATTTTAGTATTGAATATCGATGGGCTATTTTTTGTAAATATGCATATATTGTTATTATCTAGTAATAAATAAATGATTTATATTGAATGTCGGAATAGTTAAGTTGGGTAATTGGAATAATAAAATTAAGTTATTTTTCATAATGTGTTGCTTTATATTTCAGTGAAAATTCTGAAAATGCTTACAAGAGTAACAACACTTCTTACAATAGCGATATTGAATCAGTGAATTCAGATGAAGGTACAATGAAAATTATTGTTTAATTTTCATTAATTTTAAGTTTGAAATATAAATTTAAATTTTCAAGCCAGGAATTTTAATTATTTAAAAAATAATTCTTCTATTATATAATTCGTCTACCTTATGATTTTTAAAATTTCATACTAGTATACAGCATTTTCTTTAACCTAATTTATTCTTTCCAATATGTACGTATATATTATTTTACATGCGAATGTACATAATATATAATATTTAAATATATCTACATACGCATATACACAGACATATTGAAAATTAAATTATAGACAGCATTATAATACTTTATTCATAATTTCAATAAATTCTATATAAATTAAAAAAATTTTAATATTGTAGAGTGACTTAATTATCAATTAAATATATTAAATTAATAGCATTCTAATTTTATAACTTTACAGATGATGTACAATTTATGAATAAAAGTCATAAAGTATCTATAATAGATGATTCATCAGATTCGCAAGAGTAAGATATTTTATATATTATACTTAAAATATTTAATTATTTTATATTATGTAGAATTTGTTCTATTACAGTGACCTTCGCAATAAAGAGAAAGAAAAAAAAATGCATAAATTAAAAAGGCATTCTATTTTTGAAAATTCAATTGATTCACGTACTAGCAATAAAAGTAAGCATTTGTTTTATATAAAATAAATTTTATGTTCATATATTAAATTCTAATTTATATATATTTTAAGGCACTCCATTATTTAGACGATTTACCAAGAAATCTAGACAATTTAACATATTGAGTTCCGATTCCGATGAGTAAAATATTCAAATTTTTAATTGTATTGAATCTGTTTTAAAATATTTAGTTAAATTAATAATAAATATGTTTTCATTAGTGTTTCAATCCAATATGAAAAGGAATCTATTGAAAAGAATTTAAAGAGTTCATTGATAAATGATAATGTACAAATTGGTAAATATTCAAAAATTATTTAAAAATTTCTGTTTTAGTTATTAATAATTTAAATTTTATTTTAAATAATTTTATTTGTGTTTTTGTAAAAATTTGTAGAATCCAAAAATAGAATAGGAAAAGCAACCAATTCATTATTAAGTAATAAAACATCATTATTAAAATATGAAGAATTAAATACTGTATTTGATACTGTGAACGACGACGGAAGACAATTTGCACAAGGGATATCTACAGAAAGTAATTCTCCTATTTTAAAAATGCTTCTAGATATGATAATTTGAATAATAGTTCACGATTATCACTTATAAATAATAATGAATCTATTAATTTTAGCAAAGAAAGCAATTCTTTTATTAAAGAAACATCCTATTCAAAAGATAATGAAATTATTTTTACAGTTAATGATTCAGCAGATGACTGTTCAATAAAGGAAACAAATGTGAGCTTTACAAAAGAACAAAAAACAACCGATGAAATTATAATTGCTAGTTCGACAAGTACTTCAGGTAATAATGAATATTGTTTAATATGTTTTAGACTTTATTTTATTTAGATTATATAAGAAATACAATAAGATACTTATAAAATTATTAAACATTTATAATTTATATTATTATTTTATTAACTATAATTTCAGATACTTTTACTTGTTATCAATTTTAATTATTAACTAAATATTTAATTCATGATAGAAATTATTTTAAATGTTATAACTTACAAATACATGTTTCCAATAACTTTTGGTTTTAAAAAAGTTATAATGGTATTTGTAAATTTTTAATAAGATTTTATTTGATTAATTGTTTGGTATTTTTATTTTAATTTTTTTTTAATTTAAATTTAAATTTTCAAATTTTTTTTTTTTTTAAATTGAATAAGATAGATTACTTCATGAATTTATATTAATTGAATATGAAAAATTATAGATAACTTTTGTCTTTAAAGTTTACCAATAAGTAAATAAATATTTATAATAATTTATGGTTTCTTATGGTGTATTTATTAATTATGAATTTCTAAATATTGCTATGTTAGGTTTGATGACATTAAACAAATTATTCAGTAAATTTTAATTACAGAAAATGAAATAAATGAAGATGTAATGACATTTGCAAAACGAGAAATTGGAGTAAGTAACATAGATCCTATCGAAGCTCAAAAGAAAGAACAATTATGTCTTCAGATTGATTTTATTAAAGAAAAGCTCTACAAAGTTTGTGTAAATATAAAAAACATTTCATGTTCTATATATATATTGAATTAATATATTATTATATATATTACATAGAAAATATATTATAGAAATTTGCTGAATCCATAGACGTTGAACTGTTACCAGATAAAGGTGTAAAAGTATATGATTTAATACGACAGCATCAAGAAGAACTTTTATTATTGAAAACTAAATTAGCAAAACTCGCACGAAAATCAGAAAAGTTTCAAATTCAAGATAATGAAGTAGAGCAATCAAATATTGATTTGAAGACCAGTTTTGAGGATGCTAATACAACAAAAAAATTTAACAAAAATAAAAATCACAATATTTTTAATGAATTTGATGTACGTAAAATTCCAAGTGAACCTAAAGATTCTTTTAATCCATCAAACCTTAGTGAAAAAGCTATGATGAAATATAATAAAGACATGTCAATGGCAGACCAAAGACTTCAACAACTCCATAAATCATTAGTAGGACGCCCTGCTGAAGATCAAAAAGAGAAAGATCCCACTGGTTTAAAAATTTCACTTATGCCTCATCAGCAGCATGCTTTGGCATGGATCAAATGGAGAGAAACTCAAAAACCTAGTGGGGGTATATTAGGTATATATTTAAACTTTAAAAGTTTTTACTTTGGCGATGATAAAATATTGTTTAAATAATAATTCTTTTCACAGCCGATGATATGGGATTGGGTAAAACTTTAACAATGATATCTTTAATTTTATCAACATCAAATGATGACTGCAGTAGCGACGATGAATCTTTTACAGATTATAAAGACAAAAGTACATTTTGTAATAAAATATTTATTGTTATGTAAGTCTTTTCTATTTTAATTAAAGTTATAATTTTTATTAGGATATTATGGTGGCACTTTAGTTGTATGTCCAGCTTCATTGATAGATCAGTGGAATACAGAAATAAAAAATCGCTGTAAGCGTGGTTTACTTTCTACTCTTGTATTTCATGGTAATAATAGAAATATGGAAGACAAAAAATTATCAAAATACAATGTAGTTATTACAACATATCAAGTTTTAGTCAGAGAGGCATCTGCAGAAACAAGCATGTATCAAGTAAATAAATATTTTATAATATTAGAGCTACAGAGCATATATTTTTATTATATATTAAATTCTATAATAAAATATCTGTTTCATAACTATTAGATTATACATTCTCATGAAGATATTTTATCTTTAATTTCTAATTTTGCACCAATTATAATTTATTATGTGTTTTAAAAATATGATCATGTTTGCTTAAAGATGAAATGGAATAGAGTCATTATTGACGAAGCTCATTACATAAGAAATCACAAAAGTAAGGCTTGCTTAGCTGTATGCGGTTTACACGCAAAGCATAAGTGGGCTTTGACTGGAACACCTATACAGAACAAAGAAATGGATTTATATGCCATTCTTAAGTTTTTGAAATGTTCACCGTTTGATAATTTGCAATCCTGGAAACGTTGGGTCGACAATAAAAGCGAAGCTGGTAAGCATAGATTAATAACAATTATGAAAACATTACTGCTTCGACGAACAAAACAGGAACTGCAGTCAAACGGTACATTACAATCTTTACCGGATAAAAATGTAGAAATTATTGAAATTGAAATGGATCATGAGGAAAAGCTAGTTTATCAAAAAATGTTGTTATTCTCACAAAATCTTTTTGCACAGTTTTTATATCAACGGGCTGAAAAGCAACAAATGCACGATTTGAATGATGGTAAAGTTAGCGAATCATCACTTTCATCTTTTGGTATGCTATGATTATTTTATATAACATTTTTATATTTTTTTAAATTTTTATACTTGTAAAGATTAATTATTGTATGTATCATATATAGGCTCCAAAACTCAGTTTACAAAGGCTCAACAAATGCTATTAGACTATCATAGGTCAACAGTTCAAGCTCACGAAATTTTGACTTTGCTTTTACGTTTGCGACAATTATGCTGCCATCCAGCATTGATACATTCATTATTAGATAAAGATGATGCAGCAATGAATGGCCTAGATGATGAAGAAGAGGTAAATACAGATCTTTTAAATAAATGGCAAAATATGTCCATTAATGAAAATGATAATGTTCAACAAAGCACTTTTAATTATAAAATTGACAAAAAAGTTGCAACGAATCTTTTAACAAAGAAAAATCCAGTTTTTAACAATGATCGACGCAGTTCTAAGGTACGTATTCGTATACTCATTATTTATTCTTCTAAATCGTTAAATTAAGAAATAAAATGAGATAAATTATTTTGTCATTGATAATTTAATTTCTTAATTAAGCATTTACATCTTTAAATAAACTATATACGATTTTAAATCTCTTTAATTTCTATTAATTTTTTTTTAATTTTATTAGATACGTGCTGTAATGAAGATTATTAAAAGAATTTTAAGAAAAGGAGATAAACTAATTGTAGTATCACAATGGACTAGCTTTTTAAAAGTAGTAGCTCAGAATTTAGAAGATATAGAGAATGCAAAATATGCTGTTTTCACAGGAAATGTTCCTGTAAAAGATAGACAGGTACATTTTAATCTTGTAAATTCTATACTATCTATCTTAGGTTTTTAGTTAATCGTCTTTAAATTTTTTTTATTTCAAGATTGAATTTATTGGAAACATACTATTCTTCTATGTACGATAGTATTATTAATTATTATTGGCTTTCTTATTGTTGCTATATTATGAACAAGAATATTAATACTTTGAAGATAGTTTACCTAACTTTTTCTTTTCATTAATATTCAAGATTATCTTGACATTTTCTATATTAAAAGAGTTACAATATAATATTAAACTTATTCATTTTAATGGCAATGCTATAATAAAATTATTATACTGTAGAAGTTAATATATTAAACTTTTTATATTTATTTAATTTTCAAAGATTTTCACTTTACATATAAAGTATTCTGTATTTTTCATCACCATTTAAAAAAAGAGTCTAAATTAATAAATTAGATTAGATTTTAAGTTAGATTTTATTTACATTTTTTAGGCAGTTATAGACAAAATTAACGATCCCTGCGATGATGTAAATATTCTATTATTGTCACTTACTGCCGGTGGTGTTGGTTTAAATATTATTGGTGCCAATCATCTACTTCTTATTGATATTCATTGGAATCCTCAATTAGAAGCTCAAGCTCAAGATCGTATATATAGATTTGGACAAAATAAAAGTGTTTATATTTATCAGTAAGTAAATAATTTTTTTTTTCTTACGCATAAGAACGCTTATGTATGTTTAATATATTTTTTATTTCAGATTTATCTGTAAGGATACTATTGAAGAGAGGGTGAAAAGATTACAAGATAATAAGCTAGGAGTAGCAAATAATATTTTAACTGGCACAAGATTATTATCTTCAAAATTAACTGTTGAAGATCTAAAATTATTATTTTCATAAATATCTTCTATTTATTTTTAATTTTTAATCAAATTTAATCATAAGCATTAATTAAGAAAATTTTTTATATTTTACTTGATATAGAAAATAGAACTGTATAAAAAGGATAGAGAGCATTTATTTAAATGTGAAGTTTGTGCATTTATGAAAATACTGTTTTATTTTTATACTGTAAAATTAAATGTAAATGTTATTTAAGTCAATGTAAGTATTTCAGCATTTGTCCTGATTGTGCTATTCCATACTCCATAACCGAAATATATACCTAAGCCTACAAGATAATTAGATAATTAATTTTTAAAGAATTATTGGTTATATTGTTAAATAACTTACCTATTATCATCCAAACTCCAAATCTTATCCACGTCATAATATCCAGTACCATTATTAAATAAATGTTAATTAATATACTTAACGCAGGAATAAAGGGAACAAGTGGAACCTGTTAATTATATTTTGATAGATTATAATTCAATAATTTATCTATACACATAAAAATATGCAACAAATTTATGAAGTTTTTTTTACCATAAAACTAAGTTTTTTATCTCCGCTTGGTTGTAAATATATAAAAAGTAAAGACAATATTAACATAAACGTAAGCAATATGACTGGTAATAGAAACAGTAAATTGCCAGTTATAATTTCTTCTGAGTAAACCGAGATTATCGATGTCAAACATATACATAATATGACTGGAAATAAAATATACGTTGAATTGAAATAAATGTAAGTTATATTTAAAATTAAAATTTACTTACAGTAACAACAGACTAAATACGTTACTATTTGTGATGTGAGCTTTGTTGAGTATTTTAGTTTTTTTATGTTAATGAGCTGTTTCATTATTAAGGAAATTGAATATGACTCATTATCATCTTTTTTCTCATAAGATTTGTTTTCTTCATACCTTAAATTCAAATAAATCTATATCTATTTAAAATGTATAATTAACATTAACATTATACATATGCACTATAAATGACGCACACATGAAAGATTTACCTTAATACAAGTACACAAGCTGCGACGATAGAGTAAGCTAAAAGAGTACCAATACTCATCATATTGACAAGTTGACTAAGTTCAAAAACTGCTGCTAAAACTCCTATAAATAAAAATTTATTTAGAATTTAGAATTTTTTTTCTTTTTTTCTTTTAATCGAGTGCAATTTTATCCTATTTGCAGAGTTTTTTTTCTCTCTATAAGTTAAATTTAAGTTAAATTCAGCAGTGATAACAGTGAAAGAATATTATTTTACATTTTATGGATCAAGTATTAATAAATTGAAGTTATAATTTCAAAAAGTAATTAAGAGCGATAAAAGTACCTATAAAATTAATTATTTATTGAACGCTGAATACTTAATAAATTCTGGATATTGCATTTCAATAATAAATGGGAATTTTATTTTTTAAATTAGAACGTAGTTAATCTCTATATGCGCAAATTATGTCGAAACTTCTAACGCATTAATTTTTTTCTTTTTTTTTAGATTAAAAGAAAATTTGATCGATCGATGAAACAAACGGATATCGATAATGTATTTATTAAATCGTTAATGTTGTATTATTCAAGTATTAAACTATTATGGATACTCTGTGGGATTCTCACAATCTTATCATAATACATATAAGACTATCCGTAGCAACAAATAATGAAATATATATATATATATATATATATATATATATATATATAAGCTTACCTGTTAGTAGACCAGATGAAAGTGTGCCCATGAGTGGGGTATGAAATCGAGGATTTATCGCTCCCATCCATCTGAATATTAGACCATCGGATGCCATAGCATAAATTACTCGAGGCAAGGGGAAGAGTGCGCC